ATGCATCAGCGTGAGCGAGCGGGCAGGTGGAGAAGAGCTCTGCTGCTGGGAGGGAGCGGCACTGAAAATGCGGAGCTGTTGGCACGGGTTTTACACAGAGCAGCTTTTACACAGAGGAGCTTTACACAGAGGAACTTTACACGGAGGAGCTTTTACACAGAGAAGCTTGTACACAGGGAGGACTTTACACAGAGAATCTTTTACACAGAGAAACTTTCACACAGGAAAGGTTTTACACACAGAAGCTTTTACACAGAGAAGTCTTTATACATATTAGTCTTGACACAGAGAAGCTTGCACACACACAGAGAAGCTACGGAAAAGCTTGTACACGCAGAGGCTTTGACACAGAGAAGTCTTTACACAGAGGAGCTTTTACACAGAGAAACTTGTACACACAGAGGAGCTTTTCCACACAGACGTTTTTACACAAAGAAACTTTTACACAGAGCAGCTTTTACACACAGACACGTTTACACACAGAGGGGCTTTACACGCGGAAGCTTTTAAACACAGAAGCTTTTACACGGGTAAGCCTTTACACAGAGAAGCTCTTATACACAGAAGTTTTTACGCAAAAAGCGTTTACACAGAAGCTTTTGCACACAGACGCGTTTACACAGGAGCGTTTACACACAGATGCGTTTACACACAGAAGCTTCCACACTCAGAAGATTTACGCATAGAAACTTTTACACACAAACAAACGCGTTTACACACAGGAAGTTTTACACACAGAAGCATTTACGGCGCACAGAAACTTTTACACAGAGCAGCTTTTACACACAGAAGCTTTTTCACAAAAAAGCCTTTACACAGAGAAGTTTTTACACACAGAGGCTTTTGCACAAGGAAACCTTTACACAGGAAAGCTTTTACACACCGATGCTTTTACACAGAGAAACTTTTCTCATCGAGAAGTCTTACACAGAGGAGCTTTTACGCACAGACGGGTTTGCACAGATAAGTCGTTATACAGAGGAGTTTTTGCACACAAAGTGTTTACACACAAAAAACATTTACGCACAGAGAAGCTTTCACACGCAGAAGCTTCTGCACGGGAAAGCCTTTACACAGAGAAGCTCTTACACTCAAAAGTTTTTACACAAAAAAGCCCTTACACAGAAACTTTGACACACAGACGCTTTTACACAGAGGAGTCTTGACACAAGAGCACGTTTACACACAGAAGCCTTTACGCACAGAAGCTTTTTTGCCCAGAGTAGCTTTTACAGACAGAAGTCTTTACACAGAGAAGTATTGAGACAGAGAAGCCTGTACACATAAAGGCTTTTACAGAGAGAAGCCTTTTGTACAGAGAAGTCTTGACACAGAGGAGCTTTTACGCAGAGAAGTCCTAACACAAAGGAGATTTACACACAGAGCAGCTTTTACACACAGACACGTTTACACACAGAGGGGCTTTACACACGGAAGCTTTTAAACACAGAAGCTTTTACACGGGTAAGCCTTTACACAGAGAAGCTCTTACACACAGAAGTTTTTACGCAAAAAAGCGTTTACACAGAAGCTTTTGCACACAGACGCGTTTACACAGGAGCGTTTACACACGGATGCGTTTACACACAGAAGCCTCCACACTCAGAAGCTTTTACGCAGAGTAGCTTTTACACAGAGAAGTCTTCACACGGGGTTACAAAAAGGAGATTTACACATAGAAACTTTTACACACAAACAAACGCGTTTACACACAGGAAGTTTTACACACAGAAGCATTTACGGCGCACAGAAACTTTTACACAGAGCAGCTTTTACACACAGAAGCTTTTTCACAAAAAAGCCTTTACACAGAGAAGTTTTTACACACAGAGGCTTTTGCACAAGGAAACCTTTACACAGGAAAGCTTTCACACACCGACGCTTGTACCCAGAGAAACTTTTTTCATCGAGAAGTCTTACACAGGAGCTTTTACGCACAGATGGGTTTGCACAGATAAGCCTTTGTACAGAGGAGTTTTTTATCACAAAGTGTTTACACACAAAAAACGTTTATGCACACAGAAGCTTTCACACGCAGAAGCTTCTGCACGGGAAAGCCTTTACACAGAGAAGCTCTTACACACAGATGCTTTTACATTCAAAAGTTTTTACACAAAAAAGCCCTTACACAGAAACTTTGACACACAGACGCTTTTACACAGAGGAGTCTTGACACAAGAACACGTTTACACACAGAAGCCTTTACGCACAGAAACTTTTTTGCCCAGAGTAGCGTTTACAGACAGAAGTCTTTACACAGAGAAGTATTGAGACAGAGAAGCCTGTACACACAAAGGCTTTTACAGCTAGAAGCCTTTTGTACAGAGAAGTCTTGACACAGAGGAGCTTTTACGCAGAGAAGTCCTAACACAAAGGAGATTTACACACAGAAGCTTTTACACACAGACACGTTTACACACAGAAGGTTTTACAAATAGACGCTCTTTCGGCGCACAGAAACTTTCACACACAGAAGCTTTGTACACCGAGAAGCCTTACACAGAGGAGCTTTTACGCACAGACGCGTTTACACAGAGAAGCCTTTACACAGAGGAGCTTTTGCACACAGAAGCCTTTTACGCACAGAACCTTTTGCACAAAGCAGCTTTTATACAGCGAAGTCTGACACAGATTACACAGAGGAGCTTTTACGCACAGACGCGTTTACACAGAGAAGCCTTTACACAGAGGAGCTTTTGCACACAGAAGCCTTTTACGCACAGAAACTTTTGCACAAAGCAGCTTTTATACAGCGAAGTCTGACACAGATTACACAGAGAAGCTTTCAGGCACAGACGCGTTTACACAGAGAAGTCTGTACACAGAGGAACCTTTACGCACAGACGCGTTTTCACAGAGAAGTCTTTACACAGAGGAGCTTTTGCACACAGAATCTTTCATACACAGACGCGTTAACACACAGGAGCTTTTACAAACAGACAACTTTACGGCGTACAGAACTTTTACATAGAGCAGCTTTTACGCAGCGAAGCTTGTACACACAGGGGAGCTTTTTTACACAGAAGCTTTTACAGAAAAGTTTTTTTAATACACAGAAGCTTTTACACACAGAAACCTTTACACGCAGAAGCTCTTACACACAGAAACTTTTACACACAGAAGCTTTTACACAAAAAAAACTTTACACAAAGGAGCTCTTACACACAGACGGGTTTACACAGAGGAGTCTTTACACACGGAGGCGTTTTACACAGGAAAGCTTTTACACACAGAAGCGTTTACACAGAGTAGCTTTTACACAAAGAAATCTTTACACAAAGAAGTCTTGACACAGAGAAGCCTGCATACACAGAGGCTTTTACACAGAGAAGCCTTCTGCACGGAGCAGCTTTTTCACAGAGGAGCTTTTACACAGAGGAACTTTTACACAGGGAAGCTTGTACACACAGAGGCTTCGACACAGAGAAGTCTTTTACGCAGAGAAGCTTTTGCACACGAAAACTTTACACAAACAAAACCTTAACACAGAGGAGCTTTTACAGACAGAAGCTGGTATGCAAAGAAACGTTCACAAACAGAAACTTTTTTACACAGAGGACGTTTTACACAGAAGCTTTTACACACAGAAACTTTTACACCAAAACATTTACACAGAGAAGTTTTTACCCACAGAAGCTTTTACACACAGAAGCTTTTATGCAAAGAGGCTTTTGTACAGAGAAGTCTTTACCCATCTCCCTCTGCGGCGAAGCAAACTAAACGAGAACGCAGAAATAAATAGCGACTAGAAAGGTGGGATAGAGCTAATTACATTAGCAGAACCAGCGACTAGAAGAATGTAGACGTAGCTGACACAGCATGCTTTGGTGAATTGTGGCCCCTGATACCATCAGTGCGCACGATGTTTCAGTAAAGATCTTACGTCGATTTCGTGCAGAGCACAGCTGCCCACACCACAAGATTTTCAAAAAGAGGCGTGCTGTGTGCCGTCTTGCTTTTGGGTTCCCTGGCCCACCTTGTTTTGTGTGTAAAAGCCTCTGTGTGTAAAAGCGTCTGTGTGTAAAGCCGTCTGTGTGTAAAAGTTTCTGTTGTGTATAAGCGTCTTTGTGTCAAAGCGTTTGTGTGTAAAAGTGTCTGCGTGTAGAAGCGTCTGCGCGTAAAAGCGTCTGAGTGTACAAGCGTCTGCGTGTAAAAGTGTCTATGTGTAAAAGCGTGTGCGTGTAAAAGCGGGTGCGTGCGTGTGTGTGTGCGTGCGTAAATAGGTCTGCGTGTGGAAATGCTCTCAGAACGACCAAACTGTGTGGTCCAAAAGCCCCTGTGTGTAAAAGTCTCTGTGTGTAAAACTGTCTGTGTGTAAAAGCGCCTGTGTGTAAAAACGTCTGTGTGTAAAAGCGCCTGTGTGTAAAAACGTCTGTGTGTAAAAGTGTCTGTGTGTAAAAGCGTCTGTGTGTAAAAGCGTCTGTGTGTAAAAGTGTCTGTGTGTCAAAGTGTTTGTGTGTAAAAGCGTCTGTGTGTAAAAGCGTCTGTGTGTAAACGCGCCTGTGTGTAAAAGCGTCTGTGTGTAAAAGCGTCTGTGTGTAAAAGTGTCTGTGTGTAAAAGCTTCTGTGTGTAAAATCTTCTGTGTGCAAAAGCCTCTGTGTGTAAAAGCGTCTGCGTGTAAAGCCGTCTGTGTGTAAAAGTTTCTGTTGTGTAAAAGTGTCTTTGTGTCAAAGCGTTTGTGTGTAAAAGTGTCTGCGTGTAAAAGCGTGTGTGTGTGTAAAAGTGTCTGTGTGTAAAAGCGTCTGTGTGTAAAAGCGTCTGTGTGTAAAATCGTCTGTTTGTAAAAGCGTCTGTGTGTAATAGCTATATTGTCCTGATACTCCTCTTCTTGTCTGCCTATAATACATCTTTAATATATTGTTTTGTAATATGGTGTCTCCATACTAACAAGAGAAGACCCTGCTCCTCTACGCTCTCGGGCCATCCGTCGTCTAGTTTTTTGCTGTTGCGGGGATTTCGGAGTAGTGTATAATTTTTGCTCGGGCTGAAGCCAACAAAGGCATTGCTTTCAAGCAACTCAAGCGAGCGGTGTTCCATTAGCTGCACCATTGGATGCCCTGAGCGCAATTGCAGTTGCAGGAGAGGGCTTGGCCGTTGCAAGTGTAATCGAACCGCTGTTAACAAGCTTGAAGGATTGCCGACCAAAGATTCGAATGAGTGCTTGCACAACTTTAGGGGCAATCGCCAGTGGCGGGGCCAGGGAACTTCTTGGATCTTTGGGTCTCTGTGCTGAGGCAGAGGGTCATGGCCAAGCGACGCTCTTTGAGATGTTGGTTTGTACAGCCTTGGACGACAGTGATGACAGCGTCCGTTTGGAGGCTGCTGATGCACTAAGATGCTTGCCAGAAGCTGATCCAGACACCTGTGATGAGACGCGTCAACGATTTCCCCAGCTGGTCCAGCGCTTGAGGGCCAAACGGCATGGAGAGCGCAGAGGAAGGAAAGGAGAAGCGTTCAAGATGATCTCAGATGCCATGGGTATGACAGGTGAATTTGGGCAGACGAAAACGTCACTTGAAGGGACTCTTTGTGCCATTTGTCAAGAACCGTTTCCAATAAATAATGGGTGGTGCCCAGCTGGTGACCCGCAGACTCTCCACTGCGGCCATACGTTTCATGAGAAATGCTGCAGTGGGTGGTTCTCGTGGGTGAAAAGATGTGGTCGCATACCGAGCTGCCCAGTATGCCGAGCAACAGGACACCATGTGGATGCTTGAGACATCTTGAGACGGGTATTCACAGAAGAGGGTCCACAACTTGGACGCATGACATCGTGGCGATATGTAGCAGACGTGTAGCAAGCACTTCTGTAGGCTTGTAGTTTTGGACGAACGCTGCGAAGCAGCAACGTCACCTGCTTATGCAGCTCAGCTTCTTATCTGATACTCAGCTTGAGGTCAGCTTGCGCTTTTCTTCTTGATAGGCTTTGAACTTAGCTTGCAAGAGTTTTGCGACTTTCATACAGCCCGCCTCGGCGTGTGGGAGCCTTGCAAGGCTGCCAAGTTCGATGGGTCACTGTACAGTTAGCCCAAGACCTTGGCTGGAAAAAGAAGCAAATGCGATAGACTCTTCAGTGGAACGACTCGCGCAACTGTCCCACAGGTCAAGTCGTGACGACATCGTGATTTATACAAGAGTTTATCCTAAGAAATATGAACGTAGACATAAAGATCATTTGCGCAAACCGCAAGCGGGCAACGCCCGGAAATTTAACCACGCTGGGCTGGGATTGCTTGCTGAACCAGGCCTTCCTGGTTTATACCTTCAACGACTAGAAACTCTCAAAATTCCGTGACGTGGGGTCTGAAACCATTTTCTATCATAATAGACCCCAGCTTTGAGATGGTCTTAGACCCCCAACATCACCCATTTATTACCTACCATAGTAGACCCCAAAAAAAATATACCAAAACAGGTGTATAAAATCATCAGAAAGGCTTGTTGCCAGCGCTGAAATCTCCAAGTGTTTACATATACTCATTGATAAAAATAATGAGTTTATTTTATCTAGCTAGTAAAAACCTTTGTTGCAACCTTCTAAACAGATGGCAGCTGGGTTTCTTTGAAAGGAATATAAACTGCTTCAAGGAATTGGGGTCATTTTCAACCAAAAAGGCCAGCTGACCTTTTTTGAGAGGAATACTACATCTTGAAAGGACGCACGGCATATTTTGACACAATTTCTGTTGTTTAAACTAAGTTACTTAAACATAACTGTAATTCTAAATAGAATTTTCAACCTTGGAAGAAAATGGCATCTGCCTGAAGGAATATTACTATGATGAAGGAAGAAAACAGGAATATTGCACTTTGAAAAGCTGTATACATATAGATAGCAAATATTGTTGTTAAAAAGAATCCAACCTTTACAAAAAGATTCCTTCCTGAAAAAAATGACTAGCCTCAAAATAATCACCCGCTTTTAAATAAGAACAGATTCTTGGTTGAAGTGGATGCTTTGTAAAGAAAATCACACTTCTTTGCAGAACTTTATTTCTTCAAAGTATCATTTGCTGGGAATGTAATACAGGCACGCAGTTTAATAGACTATAATATCTATATATGTATATATTTCTCTTTGGGCCATGAAAGCAAATGAAAAAAAGGCATTGCCTGATATTGTTTGCAATTTTGCCTTTAGCTCAATGTATTGCATTTTCTTTGGTCAATTGCTGCGCTGCACACCTCCAATTTTGCAAGGCTATATGTTTTCCACTATATATAGTTCCATTCTTAACTAAAATATAATTTCAACGGTGACAGACAGCACGATGGCAGGGCATTGGTGTGATACCACCTGGCCACCAAGAAAATATAGCATCAGGTTGCGCGGGGGATTTTGCCTTGCATTGAAAAAATATAAAGCAAATTGAAACTATGTATTTAAAGATGTCTTGCCAAAAATAACAGGCGGACTATATTTTATATATATGAGGAAATTAAAGGACCGGATAACCCCACATGTCAGCTTCTTCCAATAATCACCAAGCAGATGTGAAAATGAGATGGGAAAGACAGGAAAGATAAAGGAGATGGTGCAAGCAGGGTTGGGTAAAAGAGCTGTGTGTGGCAGTGTTGTGTGTGTGCGTGTAAATTGGTGTATGTAAAAGTGTTGCGTGTGAACGAAGCGTATGTGACAAAATTGCGTGTGAAAGAGTTGTGTGTGACAAAGTTGCGTGTGTGAAAGAGTTGTGTGTGTGTGACAAAGTTGTGTGAAAGAGTTGTGTGTGTGTGACAAGGTTGTGTGTGAAAGAAATGTGTGACAAAGTTGTGCGTGAAAGAAATGTGCGACAAAGTTGTGTGTGTGTGCAAGAAATGTGCGACAAAGTTGTGTGTGTGAAAGAGTTGTGTGTGACAAAAGCCACCAGAGCCAGCCCAGTGCCATAAGTGCCATGCCTGCCACACCAAGTGCCACACCTGCCACGCAAAGTGAAGGTCGATGTCGCCAAGCGCCACGCTTGCCACGCAAACAGCCGCGGCGACCAAGAAGGACCCAAGCGCGCCACCAGAGCCAGCCCAGTGCCATAAGTGCCACGCCTGCCACGCAAAGTGAAGATCTATGTCTCCAAGCGGCACGCCTGCCACGCAAAGTGGAGGTCGATGTCGCCAAGCGCCACGCCTGCCACGCCAACAACGCCTGCCACGCAAGTTGTGTGTGAGCAAGGTGTGCCTGTCACGCAAGTTGTGTGTGAGCAAGGTGTGTGTGTGAGTAAGTTGTGTGGTGACAAGTTGTGTGTGCGAGTAAGTTGTGTGTGATGAGTAAGTTGTGAGTAAGCTGTGTGTGAGCAAGGTGTGTGTGTGTGTGTGAGTAAGTTGTGTGGTGACAAGTTGTGTGCGAGTAAGTTGTGTGTGAGCAAGTTGTGTGGTGACAAGTTGTGTGTGAGCAATTTGTGTGCGTGGAAGTTGTGTGAGCAAGTTGTGTGCTTGGAAGATGTGTGAGCAAGTTTTGTGTGTGCAAGTTGTGTGTGTTGTGTATGAGTAAGTTGTGCGTGAGCAAGTTGTGTGTGTGGAAGTTGTGTGGGCAAGTTGCGTGTGTGTGTGTGCAAGTTGTGTGCGAGTAAGTTGTGTGAGGAAGTTGTGTGATGACGTAAGTTATGTGGGCAAGTTGTGTGGGCAAGTTGTGTGGTGACGGCGGGCTGCGGGGGGAAGAAGGAGGCGGAAGTGCACAACCAAAAACAAGAACTCCACACAAAGATGTGGGGAAAAAGGAAGGAAAATCTGTATCCCAGCACGTTCAGGAGAATATATCTGTAAAGATTATAACATCTGAAGTCTCTAGGATGAAGGTTTTTAAAAATGTGTTTTCAATAATTTTGGTAGATTTCAGATATGGTTTGTTGGTGTGATTGTTCCTGGCGTGGTTTTGCACTTATGATGCTGATACGGTTTGAGATAGGATCTTGATAACTTATGATTTTTGATGTGGGTCGAAATTCAAAATTGTAGTGTGTGAAGTCAACCCACCGGAACCATATCCCAAACCATATCAACACCAATTCAAAATCGTATCAAAATTGTATCAAAATCAGCTTTTCAAAACCATATCAAAATCACAAAAACCTGCGAAAAATCGACCAAACACCTGTCCCGGGGCTGTTTCTGTTTCCTTTTTTTGAAGCCAACTCACCGGAACCATATCAAAACCGTATCGAAATCATATCAAAATTGTATGAAAATTGTATCAAAGACGTATTAACACCATATCAAGACCATAGCAAAATCAAATGAAAACCACAAGAACCCTCGTGAAATCGACCAAAAGGCTGTCCCGGGGCTGTTTCTGTTTCCTTTTTTTGAAGCCAACTCACCGGAACCATATCAAAACCGTATCGAAATCATATCAAAATTGTATGAAAATAATATCAAAACCGTACCAAAACCGTATCAACACCATATCAAGACCATAGCAAAATCAAATGAAAACCACAAGAACCCTCGTGAAATCGACCAAAAGGCTGTCCCGGGGCTGTTCCTGTTTCCTTTCTTGAAGCCAACCCGTCGGGAACCCTGAAAAGGCGCTCCTCCGATCCCAAACCATATCAAAACCATGTCAAAATAAAAACACGTCCAAAACATTCCAAAATCATATCTAAACCATAACCCAAACCATATCAAAAACAGAACAAAACCACACTGTAATTGTCGAAATCATAACCTGAAATTCAAAACATATCAAAGTCATATCTCCTAAGCGCATCAAAAACCATATTAAAATCGTAAAGACAATATTTCCTGAATTTGGCATCCTAGAGGGGCTCCAGGGTTATAAAATACATGTATACCCATGAAATATATTTTGTATGGCCTTTTTTGCGGATATATATTTTCTTATCATTTGAATTATTTGCTTGGCGTTGTCCACAAAGGGCTTCCCTCTCGTGCAGCTGCCCACAGTGGCAGAGTTTGCGCCCCTTTCTTGATGCACACCAGTACAGCCAGGGTGTCCTTTCGACGGCCGGCACAGGAACTTTCCAATGCATCTTGGATTGGTATGTTTTGTTATATTTTGAAAATTACCTGGTAATCTATTTAATTTTCTTTTCCGTATTTATCTGGCGTTTTCTTTGTGTATGTATCCGAAAACTCTATGTATCCGAAAAATCTTCGGATCCAGCGAGTCGCAGCTAGCCGGCGAGCTAGAAATAGGGCAGTTGGAAAACCGAAGTCGGCAAATAAGCCGGCAATGGAAAGCGGGCAAGGACCCTGACATGTCCATGCATGTCGGGGCGCGCATAAATAGATATTCGTGTTTGGGCGCGGGACAGCTGGATAAAACAAGGCCGCCGCTTGGCAGAACGACTTTTTTGTTTTCTCTTTAATTTTTCTTCGTTAGAAACACATATTTATGTTTACTTTTTTTTGCTCAATAATGTTGGTTATTTTAGAGTTGCCTTACGGCCAATGATATTTGAAGGGTTTTTAGTTTTAAAAAAGAATAACTTAATTCAGTAAAAAGGGAAGAGAGATCATATAAGTAGAAAGTTTTTTGCCCGGGGTTACATGAAACATCAAGATATGTTTAAATCCAATTCTTGAAATAGGTTTGAAGAAAACCATCATTGATGGCCTGAGAACTTAATTTGTATATGCTTGTAAGTTTTAAACAAATTCTTTGGTCATGTTTTTATGTTCAAGGATTCACAAAATGATAATTCTTGTTTCAAAGAATGCAGTTCAACAGGCTTTTCACTGAATAAGAATTGGCTACAAGGGTGTATATTTTCAAATTTGCACGTGGGCCTTTATATCTCATATCCATTTGTTTATATCAGAGAAACCGGATGTGGATCAAAAATCAAATTTTGATTTTAGAAAAATGACGATGCTTCTTTTTTGTTCCAAACATCAACGGATTTAACTTTAATTGAAAAATGTGTTTTTTCAAACATTCGGTTTTTAAATTTTAATTTTGCAAAGATTTCAGTAAAGATTGATCGTTGGTTGGTCACAAAAGAACTAGCAATCAGACCAAGGGATATCACCAAAGGAAATTTAGAAGTCTAAACTCCGCCATACGGAAAATATGGTCAAGAGGAAGATAAAA